TTGATGTCTAGTTTGCAATTTTGTTTTTTAAACACCCCCAATAATTAAAAAAGTTTGACCCTTATTTGTAATGTAAGAATGAGTTAGAGCTGACTGTTTGCAGAAAACTGTCAAATTCCAGTATTTGAAAGACTTACAGATTACAGACGGATTAAACATCAATTTTTCCCAATTGTGGACAACATTGGTTTGTATACCAGCACCCTTGTCCACTTCTGCATGTACCAAACAGTAATACACGTAGCTGAGGTCACTGCGACCTTGATGCCATTCTGTGTCCTGGTGCATTATCTGTTGCTCTATTAATTTTTACTGGTATTTTATTTCATCAGTATACTCACTCGGTTTTAAATTTCACAGATTTTCCAGGAAAACAATCAGCTCTTGTGCTTATTTTTTGTTTTCACATGAATTTAGTTCACTTATGAATGAAAATAGTGCAATTAAACCTTTGTGTTTCAGGGCTACAGTTCTCAAATGCCAATTCATGTTCCAGGGCTACCATTCTGAAAATCAACAAATAAGCACACAGATGACCAATTCATGTTCAAGGGCTACCATTCACAGAATTAACAATTACTGTACAGATAACCAATTCATGTTCCAGGGCTACCATTCTGAAAATCAACAAATAAGCACACAGATGACCAATTCATATTCAAGGGCTACCATTCACAGAATTAACAATTACCACACAGATACCTACCATTCTTATCGCTGATGTATGTACGACCAGAAACTCCAATATTTACCTTCTTTTCTTTTTTCTTTTATCACACAGCATGAACATGCAAACCTAATTAGGGGTGTTGATCACGAAGTAGTTACGACGTTAGAGTCACATTTTGTAGAAGCAATTAAAAACGTTTGGAACGACCCAGGTATTCAAGAATGTTACGATAGAAGAAGGGAGTATCAACTTACAGACTCAGCAAAATAGTAAGTAACCATGGAAACAATGGGAAGTTCCACCTAGTCTGGAAAATGGAACCAGACAGAGACCATTAAATTACCGTGGCAAAATAAAAACAGACTAGAATAATCTGTGTTTTTCAAAAGACTTTTGAAGCTTCAGCATTTGATTTCATAGCTTCTTAGCATGTGCTAGTGTTAGCCAGTGCTAAGAAAACTTGCACGAATACTTATCACAGGATTGAAGTTCAAAAATGTTAGCCAGTGCTAAGAAAACTTGCACGAATGCTTAGCACATGCTAAGAGTTCAAAAACCTGAGCCTGTGCTAAGAAAACTTGTGTGATGCTTAGCACAGGCCAGTATTCCAGTATTTGAAAGACAGAGAACTAATTCAAAAACGTTAGCCTGTGCTAAAAAAACTTGCGCGAATGCTTAGCACAGGTTTAAAGTTCAAAAACGTGAGCCTGTGCTAAGAAAACTTGTGTGATGCTTAGCACAGGCCAGTATTCCAGTATTTGAAAGACAGAGAACTAATTCAAAAACGTTAGCCTGTGCTAAAAAAACTTGCGCGAATGCTTAGCACAGGTTTAAAGTTCAAAAATGTTAGCCAGTTCTAAGAAAACTTGCACGAATGCTTAGCACATGCTAAGAGTTCAAAAACGTGAGCCTGTGCTAAAAAACACTACGCATGGGTTAAATCTGAACCGTTTTTGAGACCTGGGCCAGATTCTTAGCACTCCTGGGCTTGTATGTAATTTGGTATAGCGAATATGCAAACGTACGGGATTCACTTAAATCATACCCCTTTATTGGTGTAGCTTGAATAAGACTTATAAATCTGTCTTTTGTAATGTTGTAATGTAATGTTAATCCAGTAGGGAAATTAGATTAGTAATGAACTCAACTATGTGTGTAGTAAATGTAATATTTTCTTTATAATATTCACTATTATAGAAGTTACGTGATCGTACTTTATTCTTGGGGGCGGAGCTATGTCACAGAACGTTCTATGTGCACCACCACTGCAAGCTTGAAGTCTAGAAAATGGCACAAACTCAATCCTGAACAACCAAATTTATATATGTTGCAAGTGTAGGGGTAAACTTGTTACACTGTTCAGGAGACTTTCAACAACTGTTGTTTTCATCGATTGAGGTTGGCAGGCGGTGAAAATGCCTTGGTGTTTGCTACCAAGGATAGGGATGGTAAACTTTGCTTGAATGATGACATCTGTTGCATTGGTACATGTTATGTATAACGTGTTCAATAACGGATTAAGCAGATTGACATTTAAATGTCGTTTGGTGTGTAACCAATGGCAACATGTTTTAAGGGCTGCTATTAATACGTTGTTCACATGCGTAGCAAAACACAAGGTTGACTCGTTGTGAAGATGAGTGTGCTTGCTGCCTCAGGGTGCCTGAGTGACAGAAGTGACCCATAGCAACAAAAAGCTGCCCCTAGGAAGCAGTTTGCACGATCATAATCTGGGGAAGTAGTATCGTATGATTGTATTACTGTAAAATACTTTATTTTAGCTGAAATTAATTTTCGCTGATAAGGCTTTTTGAAAATCTTGTATGGAATTTATTTTCAATGATTTTTGATCAGTTGAATGTAAAATATATGAAAAAGGGTATATTCTCTAGATTGTATTTTCCCTGAAACATCCATTTAGTGAAAATAAAGTATGTTACATATTGTTGCTATGCAAGCTAGACTTGCAGAAATTTTTTTCTAAAAATTTACATTTTATGAAAACTACCTAAACATTTTTTTACCATTGAATTTTGAATTTCCCTAGTACTCTGACCAGGGGCGGTAAAGACTGTGTTGAGACGCCCCAGTTTTCACTTGCCAGTCACAGGATAACTGGACAGGCTTGACACAACCCAGGGCAGCCTGACACAACCCAGGGCACCCTGACACAACCCAGGGTGGTACCCTGACACAACCCAGAGCACCCTGACACAGTGATGCAAATGCACTTCATGTCAACTTGGACTGGTTCAGAGTCAGAGGGCTGTTCCCCCCCCCCTAAGAGTTCCATGGTTAACCCTTACACATGTGAACAAGGCCTCTGAAAATAAACTCAGCCAACAGGCAAAATATTACAATTTTCAGTTTTTACTCAATAAATTTGGCTATTTTTGTCCCAATATTCTGAAAGAAATTGCACACTATAAACAGGACTTTTTTATGAATTTGTGATGAAAAGCGGGAACTGGTGATGAAATGGTTAAATGCCTTCACAGTATCGAGGTTGTTAAATAGAATGTTTTTATCTATTTCTGTGTTAGTAGGGTACCTGGTGATTTTGTCTATAATAAAGCAACACAGCTTTGCCATGTATTGAAAAATTGATTTTATCCATGTTGTATAAATAGCTCGAGGTACTTGATAAGAGACATTCTGGATAAACATGGGAATAAAAATAACTGTATCTCGGTATTTAGTGATTTTATTGATGTCAACAAATCGATACTGAAAAAAAAAAGTGCATTTGGCTGCAAACAACAACTCTTCAGTGTAAATAATAGAAAGCCTGTCTGCTGTTTACTTTAAATGTACAGGCTCTTTAGCTTGGTGTACTTTCTAAGCATAGATTTTGGTACTCCTTAGCTGTGTGTACTTTCTAAGCTTAGATGGTGGTACTCCTTAGCTTTGTGTACTTTCTAAACATAGATCAAAGTACTTCTCAGCTTTCTTTATTTTCTGGGCATAGATGCAGGTACTTCTTAGCTTTGTGTACTTTTCAAACATAGATGGTGGTACTCCTTAGCTTTGTGTACATTGTAAACATAGATCATGGTACTCCTTGGCTTTGTGTACTTTCTAAAAAATAGATGCAGGTACTCCTTAGCTTTGTATATTTTCTAAGCTTAGATGCAGGTACTCCTTAGCTTTATTTTCTAAGCATAGATGCAGGTACTCCTTAGCTTTGTGTACTTGCTAAGCATAGATGCAGGTACTCCTTAGCTTTGTGTACTTGCTAAGCATAGATGCAGGTACTCCTTAGCTTTGTGTACTTGCTAAGCATAGATGCAGGTACTCCTTAGCTTTGTGTACTTGCTAAGCATAGATGCAGGTACTCCTTAGCTTTGTGTACTTGCTAAGCATAGATGCAGGTACTCCTTAGCTTTGTATACTTTCTAAACATAGATGCAGGTACTCCTTAGCTTTGTGTACTTGCTAAGCTTAGATGCAGGTACTCCTTAGCTTTGTGTACTTTCTAAACATAGATGCAGGTACTCCTTAGCTTTGTGTACTTGCTAAGCTTAGATGCAGTTACTCCTTAGCTTTGTATATTTTCTGAGCATAGATGCAGTACTCCTTAGCTTTGTATACTTTCTAAGCTTAGATGCAGGTACTCCTTGCATCCATGTTTAGAAAGTACACAAAGCTAAGTACTTCTTAGCTTTATTTTCTAAGCTTAAATGCTGGTACCCCTTAGCTTTGTGTACTTGCTAAGCATAGATGCAGGTACTCCTTAGCTTTGTGTACTTTTTAAACATATGTGTTGGTACTCCTTAGCTTTGTAAATATTGATACTCTATAGCGTTAAGTATTTTCTGAGGATAGACTAACATTATTGCATACACGCTTATCTTTTTTAAGCTACCCCAAGTAAAAGAAACAAATAACACAAACATTGCTGTTTAACATTTTCACCACCAGACTTTCTTGCCCAAATTTTTTTGCACTTTTTTCATGTATTCTTCAATATTACTGGAAATGAACTCTAATATATTAAACGGGACTATTTTGTGAATTTGTGATGAAAAGAGGGAACTGGTGATGAAAAGGTTAATGCAATGATTTCTCTATTGTAACTAGGCAACAGAGATCCACTACCTTAGTAAGACAAGAATTTAATGTTTTAGTTATTGCTCAGAATGTGGCAAAGTTTTAATATTGATATCAGCTTCCAGTCATCTCATTGGACAAGTAAATAAGGGCAAAGATTTAACAATTTCATATTTAGAAATTTTCATAATTACTGCATCCCTAGTAGAAGTCACACCCATTGTTTTTGAATAATTGAGAACCAAATTTCACCATTTCTCACATGTGTAGATGCTCTAAAAGAAGCCGCATCCCCTCTGTTGCAATATACTATTTTAATAGAGGTCTCAGTGTCTAATACAGATTTTACAGTACTCCAAATTATGCCATATTTTAAATCAAGAATATACACCATAATATTGAGGACAGGGTTTTAACAATTTCTCTTTATTTGTAATTTTCAGTTATCTCTCAGAATTGAACCATATTGTAAATCAAGAATATGCATCGTAATATTGAGGACAGGGTTTTAACAATTTCTCTTTATTTGTAATTTTCAGTTATCTCTCAGAATTGGACCGCATTTCAAATCCAGATTATGTACCTACAGAACAAGACGTTTTAAGAGTCAGGGTGCCTACAACTGGAATTATCGAATACCCATTTGAATTGGAAACTGTCATATTTAGGTAAGAATTTGTTGTAATTATGAGATTACTATCAAGTGTGCATTAAGGCAGTATGTAACATAGCTGAAGGTGTGAAGATCAAGTTTCTTGGTGAAATTGGACAATATGGTTATTTATTATACGTCTGTCACCGTAACGCCATAAGTTACAGCGTGCCGTAACTTTGCGGTATTTTACGGGGTATTTTCATACTTCATGCGAATTCCAAATATGGAATGATTACACGCGTAAGCATCCTCTAATAATAAAAACAAACATGGCTGCCACCA